TTGAGTACAACCCCTCCACCACTACTCTCTGGGTGCGCCCCATCAGCCAATTTTTTACCCATCCAACTGTGTAGGCATCAGTGCCACAGTCGCTTAATTTATTGATGAGGATGGGGTGAGAGACAGTGTCAAAGGCCTTCTTAAAGTCTAGAAAGACTACGTCCATGGTGACACCATCATCCAAGGATTTAGTTACTTGGTCATAAAAGGCAACCAGGTTGGTCAGGCAGGACCTGCCTTTGATGAACCCATGCTGGTTGCCCCTGAGCATGATCTCCCCTGCGGGCCCCCTGTAGCAGGACACTGTGTGTGCTGCCACTTTAAGGGCCTGGAGCTGGCAGCCGCCAGGTGCCGGATGAGGGCGGCCATTTTGGAACTGGGGCTGCCCATATAAACAGCCCAGTTCAGCTGCTGGGGGTTAGGTAACAACATTGTCTGGCCAGAGGGCTGCTGATATCATCTGGAGGTAAGGGAGGAGCTGTAGGGGATGGTAGGAGGCTCCTAGTCCTGGGCATAATCCTGCTTGATTAACATCTATTAACTAATTAACATCAAGGTGTGGTGGGTGGGAAGGGGGGCGGTTAGCCCAGGAACAGGTGGGTGGGTCACAGTGAGATCGGTCCCGAGCAGGCCCCCTGTTACACCTCCCTTGCCGGTTTAAGATAAACCAGATGCCCCCAGCATGCTCTCTGGGCCGGGCAGGGCTCTCTGCTTCACAGCAGGGCTGGTCCCTCCCCTCTTCTCCCTGGGCAGAGCTCCTCCGGCACAGACTTGCAGACACAGCAGGGTCTGCTGGCTTTCCTGTGCCTCCCCCTCTTCTCTCACCACTTCCTGCTTAAGCAAGGATCTCTTCCTCCCCTCTCCCACAGCACGGACCATAGCCAGCATGCGGTATGCTAGCTAGTGCTGTATAAGGCTCCGGCAGAGATGCAGCAGGGTCTGCTGGGTTCCCACTGCCCTTCCCCCTCCTCACTGCTCAAGCAGGAAATCCCCCCCTTCCCTCCCTCCCATTTCCCACAGCACGGACCCCAGCCCCATGGACCCTAGGCATGTGGTGCACTAGCTAATGCTGAGCGGTGTCTGTGTGCGTCTCCAATTTCATTGAGACAGGCAGGCAGACAGAACAGGCCTTTTGGAGCTAATCAACAGGTCGCCCAGGTAAGCTGTTTAAGAAGAGTTTGAAGTAATGGGAGAGAAGCTATTGTTTTGCTAATCGGGTGATAAAGACTCATCAGCTCTTGGCTACCTTGCTCTCCTGGCAGTTTGCTGCAGGGAGGGAGATTGAAAAGCTCTGTATCATCAACAGATGCATGCTCGGGCCTGGCCATGCCCCCCTCAGCTCAACTCTGTGCAATGGAAGGGATGGCTACTCTAGCGCCCCCCAGCTTCTAGCCTGAGGCACTGCAGGCATGTGTCTGAATTTCCTCAGCCCAGAGAGAATGTCCGTCCAGTTTCCGACCAGTTCAGCCTAGCCAGGTTAGACTAACCTGCAAAGGTCAAATCAATTCAGACTTGGGATTTCTGAATGTCTGTCCCTAGCCTGAATGTTTCCTTCAACAGGCCACAGAGCAATTGCTAGGCATGCTTTCTACTAGAGAGAGATACAAGACTAGGGAAGAGGTCCCTTTCTCTTGGATATGAAAAGGGCATTGGAGAATTGGAGAGTTTGCTTTTCTCAGGAAAATGATTCATGTACAGAAGACTTCATCAGCCAGCCAGCTGCCCTAACAAACTGAGGCAGGATTGCTGTTTAGAGAAAATATCCTTCCTCTTGTAATTGGTGAATTGTATTCCCCAAACCCATGAAGACTGCCAGCTTTTGCGAACAGCCGTTCTCTCTCTTGCGCACATAGTCACTTATGCACCTCGGATTCATTCCCTTTTCTAAACCATTTAATTATTACGTTCACTTTGGATAGAAAAACCCAACTCATTTCTTGCTTTGGGGGAAAAAAAATACTTTTATGTTTAGATTACAATTTGCCCTGATTCTGTCCAGACTAAAATCTTTTCAGTTCTAATTAGAGCTATTCTAATGATGTATTTTTGAAGAATGAGGATGATGACTATTGTAGGGTTACTTGCAGCACTTTGATTAAAACTTCTCTGTTTGGGATTTTAAACTTTCTCTCTTCTCTGGAACTGCCAAGAAGCACTGGGATGCCATAAGTGCTCCTATCTCTTAGGGAATTGGGAAGGATGTAGTGATAAGATTAGTTACAAAGCAGCAATGCTTCTGTACGTTTAATGCATAGCGTTACACACCCAAGCTCTAACCCTACCACACACCAGAACCATATTTTCCCTAGGTGTTCCTTGGTAGTTGCACTTAAAATAACACATCTTTTATGACTCAGCTTTCAAACTCTGGCATCACACCGGAGCCCATGATGAGTAACTTAGTGTGGACTGAGCTCTTTGGGAGGAAGGCCTGTGTTCTGCGTCAGGTGCTGAAGTGGTGCAGGGGTCATCTGGGTTTAGTGCTAAATTTTGCCACGAGTTTCCTGCATGATCCAAGGCAACTCACTCTGCCTCAGCTCCTGCCTGTCCAACAGGGGAACAGTCTTGTCTGTTCACACTGCAAGCTCCTTTGGGGAGGGCTGGTCCCTTACTGGGTGTTTCTAGAGTGTCCAGAACTGTCCAGTACAGGAGATGGGCCTTGGGTGGGTGCCAGTGCCTCCACAGCGGTGGCCCATTTTACACTCAACCCAGCAGTAAGCTCAAGAGAAGCTGCGGCAGGTTGCTTATCGGGGAAGAAGGGATAAGTTGCAGTACTTGCATGAGCACATGGGTAGGTTACCATGAAACATCTGGTGCATGGTAAAGTCCCACCTGCTTTTACCCTGACACTCCTGGAACAATGATGATGAAGATAAGGGTCTCTAGATCCAACCATACTGTCAGTGTGCAGTATAACCAAATACTGCTGCTGTCCCTGTACTGCTGATTCATTTAATAATGGCACCAGGAACAGGTCATCAGAGACTCCAGTTTCCATAAAACTAGGTTAAGTTTGGATTGGCTATTTAAAAAGATGACATGGCATGCAGACGGGGGATGGCCAAATGATGATGGAAAGATGTGTTAAGTCTTATTCATGTATGATACTAATGGGGAGCTGGAAAGAATATATTCATCTGTTGCATTTGCTTTACCTGTAGGGAACAGGAAACAAAGGCACCTGCCAGGAGCATCCTTCAGTGACTGCTTGGGTATGTCTACATTGCAGTGCAGGAGTGTGAAGGCAGCATTCATCCCTGAGCCAGCATTAACCTGGCTAGCTGGGGACCAGAGGCGATGTAGCCACGGCAGTACAGGCATCTGTGTGCACCAATCTGCCTGGACCATACTTGGGGCGTGTCCACACGAGATGCTTAATGCCTATTGGATTAATACTACTGCATATTAGTGCATCTGGAAAAAATCATGCTAATCCACTAATGCACAGTAGGTTATAGTCCCATGAGCATTAAGCATCACAAAAAAGCATTTGTTTGCGCCAATGCACAGTAGCGCTGATTTATGGTGCATTAAATTAGTACCTGTTATTACAGGTACTAAAGTGAATGAGCCATAATTATGGCACATTAATGAACATGTAGATGCACCTTGGTGGTCAAAGCCTGGGTTGCTGCACCTTCATTGCTATTGCTATGAGTTGCTTTTAAACTAGCTGAGGTATGGGCTACATCCACAACCTGCCTAAGCGATGTATTGCTGCCTGCAGGTCTTGCCCGAGTCTCTCTTTTGTGATTTTTAAGAGGCCCAATCCAAATGCTACTGCAGCCTGTAGGAGTCCTTCTACTGACACATGGGCTTCAGTAAAAGCCTGTGATGGGTATTGTGATTCCCTCCCAATTGGGGAGACTGCTGTTAATGGCCATAATTGGAGGAGGTGAGCTTGTCTGAACCTACTAACTTCCTGCCCGTGGCAGGGATTGGACTTGATGATCTTGCAGCTTCCTTCCAGTCCTTTGATTCTATAATATTGCCTGAAATAAAACACAGACTTTACTTCAACAGGACCTGAACTTTGTGACTTTGTGAGGCTTTGTAACTTCACCTGATCAAGTTGACTTTCCTTGTGCCTTCTAAGAAGCGTTGCTTGAGCTTTTTTGCAATAGTGTAGTGCTTGGAGGAGCAAAATGTGGCAGACCACAGCTAAACTCAGTCAAAGCCTCTGTAAGCAAATGACACCCACACAGCAGCACTTCGAAGTAGATGCATTAGTGGGTAGGGGAAAAATGAGGAGAAAACAGAGACCAAAAATACAGGAGTAGCTCAGACAGTCTCAAAGGGGTCGTGCAATAACTAGCAAGACTCCTGAGGGATGCTAAAGAATGGAGTTGCTGAACTCTGCCAAACCAAAGGGACTGGGAATCCTGGTCTCATGCCACGGCACAGACAGATAGAAGAAGAAGAAGAAGAAGAAGCAGCCAAGTGCTCCAGAAAGGCGCTTCCTTATTTCAGTCTCTCTCCAGGAGCCCGGAACATAAGATCAACTCCTCCTCTGCACTAACGCGGGCACATACCTGCACGTTCCTGTTCAGGCTCACAGCAGGAAAGAAGAGGCCTTCCAAGTTCTCAAATGCCACAGGCCCTTGCTGGTCCTCATTGATGGAAAATGTCAAGGTCCTCCTAGTTAGGTCAAGAAGCACTCCCACTGTAGCACCTTTGGTTATTCCCCCCTCAGTTCTGTTGGGAATACAAAATCAGTTAGATGAAGTATATTGCTTAACGTCCATCCCAGTCTTTTGCTTTTAGGGAACAGGCTTCCTGGAAGGTGCAAAATAGTATCTCTGACTCCTGGCTATGCAGGTTAAAACACTTCAAAGGGCATGCTATGCTTGCATAAATGAACTACACAATACTGTGGTCCAGTGATGAATGGGTCAAATTCTGCTCACCTTTGACATCAGTGGGAGCTATGTATGTGTGTGCATGTGGCTGTGGGTAAAATCTCATAAGAACTGCCATTTACTGGGTTCAATCTGCCCAGACTCCTGCATCACAGGAGTAGATCCTGAAAGGGAGAGAGATGGGGTTGAACCAGGGTTTCTTCTACTGTTTCTCTCCCACTTGCAGCCTCCAGGTCAGTCTCCCCATACAATCATCCTTTATTTTGCAGAAGGGCAGTGACTAATGCATTTATGAAGGGCCAAAGAGAAATCAGCAAAGCCAAATAGATATTGGTTGGGTGAGAACTGAATCTGCCCTAAATGTTTGTGAAGTATACAACCTATGAACAAAATTATTAACCTTTCTCCAGAGAACCACCTCTTCCACTGTCCATGCATGGCCAGAACGAATACACACAAATGTAAGGAGGATGTAAAGAGGATGTGCTTACGTGGGAGGACACGCCAAGGGGGGGCAGGGGGGTTGGGAAGCTATAAAAAAGACTGGGTGTGCTTGTAGCTGCCTGTTTGCCTCTCTCCCTCTATCTCTTTGGATCTAAATAAGGCTCAGAGTGATGAGGGAACTGAGCCGGGGCATGGTGTTTTGTTGTTTCGCCCCAATCTGTCTCTCTCTCGTGCTGTCCACAATAAAGAGCGATGGGCCAGAATGATATCTGTTACAGTCTGGGTGGCTTTCCTCCAGCTGCATCCCAGAAAGGTAAAACTATAAGCTGGAGTATCCAGGAGAGGGCGGCTTCATGGAGAGAATGCTTTATCGGCTGGAAAACCTCCGGGGCACCGTGCACAGACTCGGGGCCAAACCATTGGGTCCCCCTTCTAAGATGGGCTGCTACCTGGACCATTTCTATCCACATAATAAGCTGATGGGCTACAGAAAGAGGCAGTGCTGAAACCTAGACTGAAAGGAAGCCTAGAGGCCCATGGATGCAGTGTGACGATCCAAATGCAGCAGCCTCTGAGCAGGCGGTCAGGGGAACCTGAATGAGGCGAGAATAACCGTAGGCAGGTTATCCGTCTTCAGAGGGTCTGGGCTGGGCACATTACTCATGGATGGCTCTACGCAGGCAGTCAAGTAAGTGTCCTGGCTCTCTGTAGCAGGAACAGATGGGGACCATGTAATGCTAAGTGCAGGCACAAAGGGGTCTTGCAGCAGACATGGTGTCTTGGACGCCCAAACCGCTCCTAGCTGATACAGCAGGTACACAGTACTGCACATCAGACTTGAGAGCAAATTGGATACAGCAGCCCTGGACAGTGGTGCAGTTGCATACATCAGGACTAAATCGAGGCCTTAGTCTCAGAGAAAGACACTTATCCCCAGTGGCCTACCTGTTGGTGTGCGAATTGTTGTGCATAAACCAGCTCCGGTTGTTGTC